CCTGCCTGGTCCTGAGGTCCTGCATTGCAGGCCTTGGGGAGTGCACAGTCCTTAGAAGGAGGGGACACAGGACAAACAGATGGTGTTCCAGACAGGGACAGGTGAGAGGTGTGAGTGACAGGTTTAAGTCTCTCTCAGGACTAGAGCTGTCTGAGGATGCGTGTGGATCCTGATGGTCACTTGTGTTTTAATATCTCTTAACTATTTGAACAGTAGTAGTATCTAATTTAATCTCTCATGTTTTAAGTGTCTTATTTGAAACACTAGTAAAAAGAGTCATGGAGGAATAGCCTTTTGTGACTGATATTGCCTTGTTTTGTTCTTTGGTTCACAGAATAAACCATATCTCACCGCACCCCTCCCCCCAATGCGCCCCTCCCCAATGCACCCTTTCCGTCCACCCTGCCCTTCCCCTCTGGCCAGGGTTCCTGAACCACCGTCATGAGTGCAGGTGCAGGTCTTGTGGTGTCTCCCATCTCTCTATGGGACAGGCGCTCCCCTGGACCATGCCATCCCCTGGTTTGGGGGGGGGCATCCCATGCCCCCAGCACTAGCATAGTGTCCCCAGGAGGGCACACAACCCCAGGGTGTGGTGGTGACAGGCGCTCACGCTGGCCCTGGACACAGCACACCAGCCCCTCACTGTTACGGACGTGCAGCACTTTCCCATTTACACCGGGAGGACAGGACAGGTGTCCACAGCCCTGTGTGGTGGCTCCTGCCCTGGCCTGTGGGCAGTTGGAGTCCCTACGTTAATATGGTGGTTTCTGGTCCTTTCCACTGGCTGTGCGTGACGGCACCAGGGACCTGGCATCTGAGCCTCCCTGGAGATCCCGATTCTCTCTGGAAAAACCTAAAAGCAGAGCTGCCGCAGGTGCAGAGGAAGCTCAGACTTTTCCGTGTGGCCGAAGTTCCGTTCTGCTTGCTGTTATCCTGCAGGATGCGACTGTGACCCGTGGCCCTCTGTGGCCTCGGTACCCATGTCCACAACTGGTGCACATTCTGCCCTTTGCAGGAGTCTGTTCATGTCTTCTGCACATTTTTAAAATTACGCTGTGTTTTGTAAGTACAACTCCTTCATCAGGGGTAGGTTTTACAAAATCCCAGTTCTGAGGCCTCTCTTGTGTTCTTACTGCCGTGTTTCGGAGCATAGAACTTTTCAATTTTGATAAACTTAAAGTTATGGGTTTTTTCTTTATATCTCCGGAAGTGTAATACATAATCTAAAAAAACTGCCATGCCCAAGGTCAAAAGATGTCTTCTACGAGGTGTACGTGTTTAGTTTTTATGCTTTTTGTTTTTTTCCAGCAGTGCTGGGATTTGAACTCAGGCTCACGCTTGTAGGCCAGCAAGTGTGGTGACGCACGCCTGTAATCCCAGCTACTCAGGAGGCATGGGTGGAGGATTGCAGACTGAGGCCAGATTCCAGGCCAAAACATGAGACCCTATCTGAAAAACAGCTGCAGTAAACTAGGGCTGGGGGTGTGGCTTAAGTGGTAGAGACCCGCCTAGCAAATGGGAGTCCCTGAGTTCAAACCCTAGTATTGCCAACTGGGGGGGAAAGGGAGAGAGAGGGAGGGGGAAAGTATGACTTTTCACATGGATCCTATGAATACTGGGGAGTCACATTCTGGTTATCCTGGTGATTCAGAGAACGCTTAGGATTTTGTATGCACAGGTCGTGCCGTGGATGGGACCCGTTTTGCATCTTCCCTGCTAATCTGTAGGGCTGGGACGTCCAGTGCATTGCCCCATGCAGGTGTCCAGAGGCCCCCGTCCCTCCACCTTGTCCCCAGCTCAGGGCCATCACCTTCAGGATGGTGGATTTACAGGGTTTTCCCAAGTACCTTGTAAATGTTTGACGTGCGTGAGTGCCACCAAACCCTTTTCCTTCGTGTGATTATCTTCAGTGCTTTTGGGTGTCACACCTTTGCGCTCTCTCTGTGGCTCACCCCTATGGGGCGTGTCAGGCGAGGTGCTGTTCTCTGTCAGGTGACAGGTGATGTCTGCAGCTTGGTGTCATCAAGAGATGTGGCCGCACAGGACAGATGCCCTGGGTGGGATGTGCCCCTTCTCCATGGCCTGAAAGAGGGTATTAATTTGAGACCATGTCTGTCTTTTTAAAAATAACTTTAAAAAGTTTTTAAAAAACTTTTGGGGTGCTAAGTGCAGCCTGTCTGCCTCAGTTTCTCTGGTGACAAAAGCTGTCTTCCTGATGTGGGGCTCAGAGCAGATGTAGAGATGTCACAAGCCTGTTGTCACACAGGCCACATTCAGAAATCTTTGTGGAGCCGGGCACCATGCTGCACGCCTGCAGTCCTGGCCCTCGGAGGCCGGGCGGGGGGAGAAGGGGGCACGTGAGTTCCAGGCCGGCCTGGTGACACGGCACAGCGGGACCCTGTCTCAAAAAGCAAAAAGCAATGGGTGTTAGAGCTGGAGACTTAACAATGCAGACTTTTACAGAAGCCATGTCGCAGAGGGAGTCATGTCAGCCGTGGTTAGTGCTCAGATGCACAGATATGAAACGCCCCTCTGTCCTGTGTTTCTGTCCACTCCTGCAAGCCTGGCGCCCCCTCGGCCTCCTCCGTCCCCCTTTCAGTGGCCAGAGGGACAGGCATGCTGCCCAGCCCGGTAACCAGCTCCTGTGGCCTTTTGCCTCTGTCCTCCGCAGTCCCTCCCAGTCATGACCCTTTGTGTGTCTCAGGCTGATTTTCAGCAAATTGAGGGAAATTAATCACTTCTGAGCATTTCTGGGTGGCGTGTGGCTCTGTGTGTAGAATTATGAAGAGGGGAGGCCTCCTGTCTTGTGTCACTAAAAGCCTGGGGACGTCACAGCCAGAAGAAACCCCTGGCCTGTAGGGTCAGTGCAGGGCATCCAGCTCCTTGTCTTTTATGTCATTGTTTCTGTCCTTACCCTGTTCCCACCCTGTGTGTGCTTACACCCAGGACTGCAGTTGAAAAAACCAAGCCAGAGAAACTGAGCGTACACAGTTTGGTGACGGTGACAGTAACAGATCAGGCTATTTTACTTCTAGCTCTAGGCCTCTATCTAGCCTCTCACTGTTAAGCCCATCCACTAGCATTTGTGGTGTCAGTAAAGCACAGAAGGCCAGGTGCTGGCCCGAGAAGGGCTTGACCACGTCCTCCAGGGACAGGGATGGCAGCCCAGGTGTCCTCCAGGGACTGGACGGCAGCCTGGGTGCCCCTAATGACAGGGACATCAGCCCGTGTGTGTGGGTAAGGAGGCCCAGCAGAGGCCATCCAGCAGGGCATCTTGGGTCACAAGGACCAGCATGTCCCCAGCTTCTCCGTCCCCTCTGTCGATTTGGTACCCACGCAGGCAATGATATCAGAGACTCACTGTGGGCCTGGCCATCCCAGGAGCTCCATGTTGACCTGCTGCCCCGAGTGCCGTGTCTTGTCCAAAGCATGCGTGTGGGGCTGCTCGCCTGCCTTCCCAAAGACGGCCCCTTATGCTGTGGGTGCACGTCCCCTGGCCCCCTCTGAAGACTGGCACTGGATGAGGCCGACATGCACGTGTTCAGGGTGATAAACAGGTTGGGAAGAGGGAGACGAGGAAGAGGGAGGTGCTGCGACCTGGGAGCATTGGTGCTCGGCCACTGTACAGAGCCGATGGGCGCCGGGCAAGGAAGGCTGTGGGGACAGGGCAGGGGACAGGGCAGGGGCCAGGTGGGCACAGGACTGTGAGGGCAGAGAAGTCATCCTGGGATGTCATTGTGGTGAGTGCAGTCAGTGGTTTGTGATGTCATCGTGGTGAGTGCAGTCAGTGGTTTGTGATGTCATCGTGGTGGGTGTAGTCAGTGTCCTGTGATGTCATCGTGGTGGCTGCAGTCACCAAAGCAAGCCCTGGGGTAACTGGGTGCACGACTGGTGACACCAGCCTAGGCCCTGCAGTGTGACAGGTGAGCCCCCATGACGCATGACTGACGTTAGTGGTGGAGACACCGTGTAGGGTGGACAAGCCCTGCTTGGCTCTTGGTGTCTCTGCAAACCCAGACTGCTGAATATGAGGTCTGTGGACTGAGAGGAAAAGGGAGAACAGGCCAGGAAGAAGGACGAGGATGTCCCTGTGTGAGGATGGGGGCTTTCTCACACACGGCACCTGGTCTGGTCCCATTGTCCAGACCAGAGTCCACCTCCAAGAAGGGCTGAGTGCTGGGATTACAGCCGTGAACCACCATTCCCAATGTAGTCATTGACACTTTTCCCCTGGGTGGCCTCTAACCAGGATCCTCCTATGTCTGCCTCCCAAGTAGCTGGAACTACAGGGCTGCGTCACTGAGCCCGGTGAAGGCCAGGCTTTCTGGGGTGCAGCGGTGTGCTGTGGACCTTCACACCTTCCCTGTGCTCTGTGTTGGGATGCAGAAGGGGCACCTGCGTGTTGTTTACCCTGCTGTGAGGTGTTGGGTCCCCCGTTCCCCACTCCTTCCTTTCTTCTCCCACACCGGGCTGCAGACAGGTACAGGTCCTGCTGTGTGAAAGGGAACCAAAGCTCATCCTGAGTACTGACTGTGGGTTTGCTTTCTTTTCTTTTCTTTCTTGTTTATTTTTGGAGTACTGCTGTTTGAACAGAGGGTCTCACGCTTTGCTAAGGTCTTGTGACCCGTTTGCCCCAGGCTGGCCTTGAACCACGATCCTCCTGATCTCTGCCTCCTGAGTAGCTGGGATTACAGGTGTGAGCCACAGGCATCAAGCTGACTCCTGGTTTTGAGAAGTCCACTGTTTTCTCAGTCTCAAGTTGAGGGGGACTGTGGAGTCTGCAGACCCCTGGGCAGGTGCAGATGCCCCCCACTCCACGCCTTGCAGGACGGAGCCCTGCGCTGGGCCCCAAGTCTGCACAGTGAGCACTGGGTTCGCTCTGTCCTGGACGGACTTCCCGTGTGTGACAGGGAGCCTTTGTCTGGTCCTGGTGGCCGCCAGTCCCTGCTAGGATGACTTGTTTATGGCTGGGGTGACCACGTGACACGGGGGGTGACAGGGCCCTGTGAGCAGGCTCCGTCCTGCACTGGGACCTGGGAGAGGAGGAGGGACATTGAGGAGAGCCGGGCCGTGGAGCAGAGGGGAGGACAGGGCAGGACAGGCCACTACAGGACAGGAGCGGCGGCCCAGCCCGTCCTCTGCCTGCTGCACAGCCGGTGGCCGGCCAGGGAGGGGCTGCTGCCTCCCCCACCCTCCGCCATGCGCCCTCCTCAGCCTGTGGAATGTGCGCGGCCCAGGCCCGGGCCCCAGAGCGCCTGGCCGGCCACGCATGGAGCTCGCTGAGCCCGGCCCCGGTCCTGCCCTGCTGCCCCGAGAGCCCTGCACCCGGCCCGGCCCCCGCAGGCCCCTGCGCACCGATGGGATGCGGCTCCGCGAGCTGTCCCTGCGCCAGGACCCTGACCTGAGGCAGGAGCTGGCCTCCCTCGCCCGGGGCTGTGACTTTGTGCTGCCCTCCCGCTTCAAGAAGAGACTCAAGGCCTTCCAGCAGGTCGGCGTCCCGTCTGTGTGTCTGTGCGTCCGTGGCTGGCTGGCTGGCTATGTGCGGGCCAACCCCTGGCTGTCTGTCTCCCTGGTGGCCTGCCTGTCTGCGTTCTGTCTGTCTCCGTGAGGGCAGCTGCCCACTATCCTGTGGTGGGGGACTTCGGGGGCGCTCAGGCGGCTTGGTGGTGCCATGTGGCGTAGGACAGGTTCTTTGGGGTGAGTGGGGTGCACGGGGGGGGGCACTTGAGCCCACTTGCTGCCACCAAGGGAAGTTCGCATTTCTGGTCCAGTTTGCAGTGGACGTCAATGTGACCAGCAGCTGGAATGTCAGTAATAAACCCAGGATTTGTCAGCTGAGCGAACGCCCCAGACTCGTTCATGAGAGAAGACGGGGCTCTGCTGTCACCATCAGAGGTGACCACCTGCAGTAAACAGGACACTTGCTGGTTTCTGGTTACGAGCTGACTTTAAGGTTAATCTCGGTTCTCGGACGTGCTCAGAGGAGCGACGTTTGTGCATCTGCCTCGTGCACACTTTTAGTCACTTTTAAAAGAGCCTTGGGACACCTGGCGCTAGTCACCTGGTGGCCTGTCTTGGTGGCCCTGGTGTCGCTGTGGGGCATGGGAGGGTGGCTGGCTGAGCACCTGACGGGCGGCCCAGAGCCCCGTCTTGGTTCAGGGCCGCAGGCGAGCACGGTGCACACTGTGCGTTCTGTTGTTGGAGGAGTCAAGTGACTTAAAAAGTGAAATTGAATGAAACCACCCTGTGTGGGGAAAAGGCCGGCTTTGTGCTGGCGTCCTAACGGGAATTTGTCCTAAGCCCTCACATGTCAGCTGTCACACAGCTCCAGGGCGTTTGTGTCTGATTTCTGCCTTGCGGACTTTGCAGTTTTGCCTGGTTGTAGGCTTCTCCCTGGTCTTAAAGGCGTGTCCCCAAAGTCACGTCACCCCCATCCTTTAGTGTGGATTACTCGCCCTGCACACGAGTTTGTTTCACAAGTTGGGAAGCAGGTGTGTGACGGTGGCCTGTTTTCCTGAGTGTCTGAGGCGTGGGGATGTGTGGGGTGGTGGACCTGGAAATCCTGACTGTCAGCATCCTGGCTGCTTTTGTTCTTGTGTTGTCACTCAACGCAGTGGACGTCCTGAAGGGGTGTCCAAGTCCTAGGTGGCTTTGGGATGGCCGAGGTTCATCTTGGAGAGATGTCTGTGGGAAGCTGAATTCCTTTCACAGAAGGGGGCTCCATTTTGCAGGAAGTTCTGTGGTGTGGGAGGGGTCGGGGGCCCTGCCAAAGCCAGCTACTCAGGTGTGCGGGAATTGGCTCATGTTTGCTGGGGGACCTGGGGGGGTCGGGAAGAGAAGGGAGGGCTTTGTGGCTTCTGTCGCGCCAGACATTGGAGTTGGGTTCTGTCTGTCTGTTGGGTGAATAGGGCCCGGGCAGGTCTGTGGCAGAGGAAGAAGCAGATTGAGATGGTGGGGATGGTGCGGCCCCCGTCCTGGGGCACGGCCTGCTGGAGCCTCGTCACGGGACCTGTGACTCTGTGACGGCCACCTCCTCTTTGGTAACATGGGCCACACAGTGACCTGTGACACATGCTGCTCGGCTCGGTGTCCTCCCGGCCTGCCGCCGTCCTGCTTTGCTTTCTGTCTACAGCAAGCCTCTTGTCCCTGAACTGGACCTTCCACACCCTGCTGTGTGTCACGGCCACCTCGCACGGCCCAGCTTCAGCCAGAAGCAACGGGATTCGGCCCTGCCGCCGTGACAGGAAGAGCTGGCCCTTGGTGCCTGCTCCTGTCTGGGGAGGGAGGCTGCTGTCTTCATGACACAGGGTGCGTGTGGCAGCCTCGCCCTCTGCACCTCGCTTGGTCCCCAGGCCTGGCCCTGTCCTAGTGACTGCCCCATGGTGTCGTCACTGAGACAGGCCGGGCTGCCCCTGGTCAGTGCTGCTGGACTCAGTGTGGTCATCAGGCTCCCGTGAGCTGTTCTCAAACTCCGATTGGCTCTGTGTCAGACGGTCACCCTTCTTCTGGCCACCAGACGGCACCAGGTGCTTCACTTCGTCCCCTGCCCTGCGGTGCTCCAGCACCTTGGTGCTTCCTGGCCCCAGCCCACATGTGGGGCTCACCTTTTGCCTCCTGTGGCACAGATCTGTCCTGCTGTCCCAGACCCGACCCGGGCTCCCTGTGTTCCCCATGTTCTCACCCTGCTCTGGGTCCCTCAGTGTCCACCACGCTGATTCACTGGCCCAGTGTCATCAGTTTCAAAAGCCCCCCGTGCACAGTCCTCAGGTGACTGTCCCTGGGTCTGCACTGGCCTCTACATGGTGACAGTCCCCATGTGTGCAGCCACACATGACGGTCCCCTGAGCTGTCCACACCTCTGTGTGCGACTATCCCGTGTGGGAAGAGGACATCTGCATGGGCTCTGGCCACCCCAGCCCTGTGGAGAGAACTGACCGAGTGTCCCCTGTGGCCTGTGCTCCAGGACCCTGGAGTCCATGTCACCCTGTGTCCCTCAGATGACACACACACAGGTGCCATCCATGCTGCTCCTGCTCTCACACGGTGGTGTCCGGACTGACCTCCTCCTCATCCTCCATTCCTGTGTTCTGGGACTTTGTGGAGACCGACGGCCTGCCTGCGCCAGGATGCAGGACACGTCACCGATCCCGCAAATGTGTGACCGCTGTCCTCTGACACAACGTCTGTCCCACAGATACGGGCCGGGGCTGCCCTGCTGTGCTGGACCTCCCGGGTGACCGCTGTCCTCCAGCACAGTCAGCTCTTGTGATCTTGGACACCCTCGGCCTTTGTGGGGTCACGCTGAGCCCCCACATGGGGCGGAGAGCGGGTGTCGGTGTGCAGGGCCTGGCTCTCTGTCCTCTCAGCTCCTGCATCCTCATGACCTTTCACTTCTGCTGGACCGTGCAGTTTTAATCAGAGCCCTTCCTCCCGCCATGATGGGGGTGGTCGGCTCCCGGGGACAGCTGAGTGCTGGAGGAGGCGTTCCGTGCTGGCGGTGGCCATCGTCTGGAAGCCCCAGGTGTCCCTCGTGGCCGAGTTGCCCACCCCGGGAACGCTGCGCTTTGTGCTGGAATCTGGGTCTGGGTGAGCACGGCTTTGGGACCTCGTTCTGTGAACCATTGTGTGCCACTTGTGGACTGTGGCTGTACCCCGCGTGTCCTTGTGTTGGGGCGCCTCATCCCCGCTGGTCCCCACTCCCCTGCACGGCTCACCCTGAGCCCTCAGGACCTGAGTGGCCAGTGAGGACACAGCAGCGGGGTCCTGCCTGCACCCTTGGCACATGTGTTTGGGGCCCAGGCTTGCGGTGTGTGGACATGAGAGTGGCCAGCGATGCCTCGGTGACGGCCCAGCTGCCGTGAGTCACGGCCATGCCTGCTCCAAGTGCCGCACAGAAATAGCTCGGTGACAGGCCGGTGTCATCGCTATCGGCGCCGACACGCGCCTCAGACACGTCCTGGGTGGGGTTAAGGCGGGGTGAGTGAGGCGGGAGCCACAGGCCCCCTCGTTCTACCTGGGCGAACCCCAGCTCACCCTCCTTAGCCACGGGTCTCGTCGTCATGGGGCAGTGGCCTCTGTGTTCCCTGCGCACTCTCCTCAGAGCCGTGTCACCGCCTGGGCGGTGGCCCGTCCCCATCTGTGCCCGGGTGTTGGGAAGGAATGCGTCCTGCAGCTGTGCCGGGGCCTCGGCTATTTGTGTCTGGGAGATTAAACCTGTAAATCCCCTGTGTCCGCCGCACCGGGTTGTTTTCAGTTTTGTTGTTGGTCTGCTTCATGTGTCGGTGCCTTCGGGGGTGGCCGGGCCCAGCCGTTCCTGTGTGCCGCTGCTGTCCCTCTGGTGGCCTGTGTGGTGGCCCTGTTGTGGGTCCCCACAGGTGACACCAGCCCAGGTGTAGCAGAGCCCACCATGTTCACGGCGTTCCCTGTCGCTTTCCTATACCCCACAGCTCATCCCCGCTCCTCTGTGGTGTCAGCGCAGCCACCTGCCTTCCCTGGCCCCGGCTGGCTCTGTCCTCCATCTTTAAAAACCTTTTCACATCTGTGTGTCTTACAAATGCACGGATTGTCACTGCTCTGTTCTGAGTCTCATCTCTTCCCTCTTCGTCTGTTTTTGTCTTTTGAGACTGTGTCTCACTATGCAGCCCAGGCTGCCCTGATGCTCACCAAACTTCCTCGGCCCCCGGAGTGCGGGCACTACATGCCTGCTTCTGTCCCCTTTCACCTTTTTTTTCCCCTTTCACTTTGGACTCTGCCTTTCTCCCACCTTACAGAGAAACATGGAGCACCTCGTTCCCCAAAGTCCAAGCCTAATGCCTTCCTGAGCTGCCAGTCCTCGGGCACCTCATCCCACACAGACCGCATGTCCCCATCTGCCCACACGTGTGCCGCTGGCCTTGCTGGTCACTTCCCAGCTGGGAGCAGTGGCTTTCACCCACAGCCATTGCTCACCCCACGCACAGGGATGGCAGACACACGCTCGTGTTTATGGTCTAAAAATGCCCGTGTTAAACCTTGGTTTTGAACAACAGCTCCGCAGGACGCAGAGCTCCAGCCTGGTGGCTGTGACCCCCACCTCTGCATGGGTGGCCGCGGTCTAGCCCTAACCCTAACCCTGACCCTGACCTCTGCAGGGGTGGCCGCAGGTCTAACCCTAACCCTAACCCTGACCCTAACCCTCTGTGCGTCTTGCTGACTTGGGACGTCTGCCGACCTCCTTGTGGTCCTCGGGTTCGGTTCTCCGTGTCTCTTCCTGGGTTCACTCGAGAGTCTTCGGGGACTCCCGGTCTTGGGGTGCAGCCTGACCCCTCTGTCACCTCTTTCCTCCAGTTCCCGAAATGTCCACGAGCCAGACTTCACGTCCGTCTGCGCTAACCCTTCCTTCAAGGGCGTTTTCTACTCACCTGCCTTTCACTTCTGGACTTTTGTTTTGCTCCGGTTTGGTTTCTTGTGCAGAGCTGGGGATGAACCCAGGGCCTTGCATGTGCTCCCCACTGTCTGCCACGGAGCCACCCCCAGGCCTGGTGGCTTTTTAATGTCCTTGCCCATGGCTTCTGTCTTGAAGCCCCTATTTGATGTCTTAGAATGCTCGCTGTGCGGTGGCTTTGCCTCTGGTCACAGCTGGCCTTGCACCCTGCAGGGCTCTGTCTGCTCTTGTGTCTCGCTCATTTGCATATGGACCTAGTGACGTGGACGCTCACTGACCTGTTCTGTGTAGCGTGGTGGTCCATGTCCAGTGTCACTCCTGGTCACAGAAGCGCCGTATGAGAGAGCGTTACGTTCCCTGTGTGAACTCCGCAGCCCTGACACAGCGGCGCACCACCTGGGCTGCGTCTTCCCGCGCAGGGTGACCAGCTGGTCAAATGCTTTGACCCCTGAGCCCTGTCACCAGGGGAGGCACGAAGGATACGTCCAGGGGACACGGGGATACACGAGTCCTGGGGCCGTAGTTCACCAGCATAGCGTCTGCGTCAGGGACACAGTTTCCCTTCGGGTAAAACTGTCAGGACCTGGGTTCAGCCTGCCCTGTGCCAGCTGTGGGGACGCCCGTCTGCTTCTTGCACAGACGGTGTATATCTATGGAGTCCAATCTGGGTGACACCAGAGTGCAAGTGTCCTTGACCTTGGGGTGACAGAGTAGGGGCATCTCTTGTCCATACAGGGCAGCCTCGTGACCTTCTGACTCTCCTGTGACCCTGCAGCCACGACAGACAAAGTCCTGGGCCACAGAGGGCAGGGAGCAGCCTGTGTGACCTCCGTGTCCCCTGAGGCCTGGTGTAATGGATCTGTGGACTTTTCCCCAGTATGGCCTCAGCCCTGAGACGCAGAGGGGGTGGCCCTGGGTTGTTTTGGGGGACAGAGTGACCAAGCCAAACAAGAAGCTCTGAGGAGTCTGTGGAGCAAGTGGCTCCAGAAAGGGAGCCGGGAGCACCCACGATGGCAGGGTGGTGGCGCTGCCGTGTGACAGGTGTGGGGACGAGGCAGCTGTTCAGCACCCTCCCTCCCTGTCTGGGGGCTGCCCGTGTCTGGAAACCCCCTTCTGACAACTGCAGGGGAACCCACGGGGGCTCCAGCACCTCTGCGATGTGGTGTTTGGTTTGGGGACGGTCCTTCCTGCCCTGCAGAAGGACATAGGAAAAAAGAGGGAGCACGTCAGGCTGGCTGTCATCAGAGTCCCTGTGACCAGCATCCCACGTCCATCTTAGTTAGGACAGGGTCCTTCCTGCCTCTTCCACCTCCTGGGGCTGCAGGTGTCCCTAGGCTTGTGGCCTCGTCGCTGAAGTGTATGCAGACTCCCCATGTTCCTAAGGAGCCCGTCACACAGGGTCAGGCCACCCAGTGACCTTGCCTCACGCTGACCTCGGTGAGACCCTCCCTTCCCATGACAGCCCGGCTCCCCTGGAGGCCTGTGGGCTCAGGCAGGGGACTCGGTGTCTCTGTGTGTGTCACGCTGCTCCTGACGCATGTGCTGTGATCATCAGTGCAGGGGACATTGCTGTGACATTGGCCCGCTTGGGTGACGCCGAGAGTGACCCGTGCCGTTCGTCCTCTGCCCCCTCTGGCTGAGGTGGGACAGTCGCTCTGCGTGAGGACTTTTGGGTCCTTTTGTCATCTTTGTGACACCCAAAGTGTCCAGAGGTCCCCGGGGTGCAGTATGAACCCCGAGTCACGCAGCTGGGAACTCGCCAGGTGGGGTGACGGAGGACGGAGGGCGTCACGAGCTGTGTGCCCTGCGACCTGGAGGTGGCACCTGACAGTCTCTCGCTCTGTGTCAGTCTGGCCTGACACACAGCACGGTGTGTTCGTGTGTCTGCATCTTGTGTGTGTCTGTGAGTCTGTCTGTAGTTGTGTCTGTCTGTGTCTCTGTGTGAGTCACTGTATCGGTGTCTGCATCCATGTGTGGCTGTGCGTCTGTCCTTGTGTGACTGTGTCTCTCTGTCCTTGTGTCTGTCCTTGTGTGTCTGTATCTCCATGCACGTCTTTGTGTCTCTGTATCTGTCTGTGTGTCTGTGCATCCAGCCACAAGATGCCCTGCATGGCCTGTGACACCCAGTCCCCACACCCCGACTTGTCCCCAGGATGAGGGACACAGGGACGTGCATGTGACACGTGTGCGTGGACTCGAGCCGGAATGTCGTCCTTGGGGCTGACGTCAGTGTTTTCAGCCTCCATCTCTTTCTTTTTTGCCAAAAAAATGAGGAAATTCAAAAAAGACTGACAGGAAGTAAAACCTGTCCTCAGTGCTTGTCCCAGAATCTGGGGGACAGTGACCTTCCTGTGAGCAGGTGCCCGCACCCCAGAGCGGGTCCTGGATGCACAGTCCTCTCCCCAACGTGGCGGCTCCCCGTCGGCCGTTTTACGTGACATTTTCACAGTCCGCCGAGCTGGCACATGGGCTCAGGAACTCTGTGACCCTGTCCCCACAGGGTGGGAGGGGACGCTTTGGGGCTGGCAGGGGTCGGGCTGTGCCATGGGCAGTGACACAGGCCACATGGGAAGGCAGTGTGGGCCCAATGTCACCAGACCGTCCTCTGCTCAGGTCTGGGCTCGGTCCAGAGCACAGCCCCTCCTGACGTCCACCCCAGGTCACATCACCTCGCGGCACAAGGGCCTGCAGCCGTTACCTCCCCGTCCTTACCTGGATCTTCAGGACGCCACAAGACCTGATGGACGTCACTCGTGTCCACTGCCAGATGGGTTTCCCTTGGCAAACCATCGGCCTCATGTCCAGGACACGAGTCCCTGACTTTGACCAGCTGCCTAGGCTCTTGGGTGCTACGGGGGACACAAGTGACAGGACACAGCCCCGTGGCTGAGGCCTCAGACAGGGGACACAGCCCTGTGTCCAGGCCGTGGACGGAGGGACCTGCCTTGTGACAGGTCCTGACTTAGGAGCAGACGTGCTGGTGTGTGACCTCTGGTGACATCTGCCGTCTTCCCGTCCTCGTCACTGTGTGGTCGCTGGGTCTGGGTCACTCAGATCGGGCGCCTGTGAGGCCACAGGCCACAAGATGCCCAAGTTCCCCCGTGTCCCAGCCTCCAAGGCTGACTTGCTGTCACCGGGTCACCACCACAGCACCCAGGGTCTGAGGTAGCTTCTGTAGGTGGCACCTGTGTCCTGTGCTCCCTGACGTGGTCACGGCCTGGCGGAGCTCTCGGTGGCTGTGTGAGTGGCGGCCTGCTGTGGCAGCTGCTTCTGCACTGCGGTGGCCCCTGTGGGCTCCTCACACGCGATGCTGTTCGGTCCCCGGCTCTCTCTGCAGGGAACACTGCCCCACAGTGACAGTGACAGGAAAGCCATTGAGCTTGGCCACAAAGCAGCCTCAGGGTCACCTGCCGAGGCGTCCCCAAGCAGTGCCCGGCTCGGCCGCTGTCGAGGGACCTTTCTTAAACGCATTGCCTGGACGGCCACCTCCAGTCGGGACAATGCAGCCCTGTCCTGTGGACACAGTGCCACCCCATGTCCCCAAGGCCAGTCACGAAGCCACTTTGTCTCGAGGCTGCAACTGTCACGGGCTTGTGGTCAGACAAGGGCAGTGTCCATCAGCTGTGGTTCTGGGGTGTCTGGCGTGCGAGGGACCATCCAGGCTGGGGGGACATCATGTTGGGCCGGCCCGCCTGCCGAGGTTAAGGACAGGGACTCAGCGTCCCCTCTGGTCACCATACGTCATTGTGGAGAAGACAGCAGTGGTGGCGGGCATGACCGCAGGTACAGCACAGATGGCTGGGCAGGCGGAGGACCTGTGTCCACCCCAGGCCACTGAAAAACTGAGAAGAAGATCCTGGGGTCCCAGGTGTCAGTGAGGGTGACCTCAGTCGTCCTGGGTCATGACTGAGCTGTGACCTTAGGGTCCCTGGTTCTGACTGACCATTGGCCTTGGGGTGCAGGTTGGGAACAAGGTGTGGCCTTGGGGGTCCCTGATTCTGAGCGCGGGCCCTCTTGCCTGCAGGTGCAGAGGAGGAAGGAGGAGCCGCTGCCCCCCGCGTCCAGCCAGAGCATTCCGACCTTCTACTTCCCCCGCGGCCGGCCCAGGGACACGGTGAACGTGGACGCCGTCATCTCCAGGGTCGAGCGCACCTTCACCCAGTTCCCGCATGAGCGCGCCACCGCAGACGACATGGGCAAAGTGGCCAAGGTGGGTGTCGCTCTCTGTGTCCGTGTAAGGTGTGCACACGTGTAATTCCTGCACGTGCACATCAGGAACTTCAAGGTGTGAGGCCAGCTTTGGGAAAAAGTTTTTGAGACCCCATCTCAATACAAAAGCTGGGCACCGTGGGACACCATGTAATCCCAGCCTCGTGGGACACCATGTAATCCCAGCCTCGTGGGAGGCGTATCTAGGAGGGCTGCAGTCCTACAGCGGGTCCCGGCAAAAGACGTGAGGCCCAACCTGAAGACAACCAAAGCCCCGAGGGCCGGTGGCCTGGCCCAAGAAGCAGAACACCTGACAGCAAGCACAAGTCCCTGAGTTCAAATCCCAGTACTGCCAAAGGGCGAAAAAGAAAAAAGCATCAGTGAAGTTTCTTTCGTGGCTTTTTTAGTTTTCTCGTCTGTTTTGCTGGTTTCTGTGCCAAAACCCTTGCCAGGTCCCTGGTGGTGCAGACATCCCCGTCTCACGAGGCACGTTTTGCACATGTGCTGCTGGGAGTCCTTCATGGACTTGAGGGTCACCTTTCACAGATGCCTCAGCGGGGGTCACACGGGGTCATGTGGACTCTGTGCCCCGGTGTGGACGGGGTCAGCATCACGTAGAAACCCTTTTGCTTCCTTTCCATCCTGGTGCCTGCTCTTGCTTTGGTGACCGTGATGTCACGGCGACCTTGACTGTGACCTTGACTCCAGGCGAGGCGTCTGGGACGTTAGCAGAGCCCCTGTGTGTGAGGACGGAGGGACCGAGCAAGGGGTCGTGACCCCAAATCCTAAATCTAAACACTGTCAGTCCGTCTCTCTGTCTCCCTTTTCCCTTCAGCCCAGTGTGGCATCTCTGTGAGTTTGTCCTCTCTCTCTCTCTCTCTCTCTCTCTCTCTCTCTCTCTCTCTCTCTCTCTCCTCTCTCTCTCTCTCTCACCCTCTCCCCCTCCTGTATGCACCCAGGAAGGCAGTGTCCCCGTGGGGGACAATGTGGACATCAGGTCCTCACAGCAGCCTTCACAGGTTTGCTGCTGGGTGCTCTGCCCACCCAGGCATCCTGCATGGCATCTGTGACGTCACGAGCGTGCTCTAACCTCGTCGTCACCGTGGTGCGCGGTGCACACGCAGAGGTCTCGCCACGTGGCCTGGGCCGGCCTCGCCTCCTGCCTCAGTCTCTCGAGCGCCGGGATTACAGGTGTGCAGCACCATGCCCAGCCCCGATCTTAAGATGGCGTCGCTGCCGTTCGACCTCCTCCTGTGTCACCCACTGTGCGGGCTCCGAGTTCCTGCTCAGCAGAGCCATCCCGCAAACGCAGTGTCCCTGCCCTCGCTTCAACGCTGACTCCATCCTCCTGGGTCCTGTGACTTCCTCTTTGTGCAGCGAGGTTACAGTTTTGTACATTTTTAGGGTAGGTGTGCTGGCGCACGCCTGTAATCCCAGCTGCGTGGGAGGTAGCGATGGAGGATCACAGTTTGAGGCCAGCACGGGGGAACGGTTAGTGAGACCCCATCTCGGCAGCAAGCTGGGTGTGCTGGTTCACGTCTGTAATCCCAGCTGCGGGGGGCACAGGTAGAGAATTGCAGTCCAGAGGGCAAAAACACAAGATCCTATATGAAAAGTCACCGGAGCGGAGAGGCCCTGGGCCGTGGCTCCATCAGGACAGCGCTGCCCAGCAAGCCTGAGGAGCCGGATTCAAATCCTCCTGCGTGAGAAGTTTTTTGTTACCATGTGTGGTTGGCTGCGGCCAGGACACGTGCCCGGGATTTCACTCCACGTAGTACACTGAGGACGTCCATCTTGGCCTCGTTCTGTCCGTCCTGGCTCCGTGAGTCGATGCGTCTCAGGCCTGGCATTGTGCCGACCGTCCGCATGTTGTCACTTCCTGACATGGGCTGGGCCTCATGGCTGCGTGTGTCTCAGTCCTGTGAGGTTTCTCAGCGTCTGTGCTGTCACCTCGAACTGTGTGGGTGCGTGCGCACGACGTCCTCCCGGACAGACGTGTCCTGTGTCCTGACAGCCATTCCTTTGTATCCGAAAACCGTCCTTCTCTGTAAATCCTCTGTCTGACGTCAGTGGAATATTACTCAGCGTGGACAAAGAGGCGGCTCATTGAGACCCAGGCCAGCGTGAAGGCGTGCACAGGCGGGACTGCCTTTCTCAGACATTCTGCAGATCAGACCCCACAGACAGGGAGGAGACGGGGGCACAAGGGACGGGGTGACCCCAGGAGCCTCTCTGTCCTGACTCAGGTTGTGCATTTGGCTCCCAGGCTGGTCTGGGCCAATGGATGTACTTGTAGCTCTGGCCTCCCCAGCTGACTTGGGAACTAATGAGGTGTCACTTCCAACAGGAGTGGGCGTGGATACCGGGGTGGTGACAGGCCCTGGCTTCCCCCTACACACACACACAGTGCCCTCACCCCATTTTCAGTGACTCAGGCCCACCCGCCCCTGGTCAGCCCGTCTGTCCTCTGTGGGGTCCCCATGTGACACACTTAGTGTGACGCTTGCCGTGGAATCCACTGTGTGTCACTTCCCGGATCCTTGTTACTGGCTGCGTATGACTCCACGGTGTGTTCAGCCACCCCACCCCCCGTCTCTCTTACACCGTGTGTGGTCCCCCTCATCCTCACCTGTGGGGTGACTCAGGTTCCTGTGCCACAGGCAGTGCTTGTCCTTCTCGCTCGGGGGACATTGCAAGTAAAGCAGTCAGGACGTCCCTGTCCCCAGGCTCTGCCAGACACCATCACCAGCCATGCCACAGCTCAGGGTACTGTGTGCTGAGTCCTTCTGCCTGGGGGCCACAGGTGTGCAGCCCCACCAGATCCGGGGAGGGACACAGTTGGCTTTCCGCAGCTGTCCCCAGCCTCCTGAACACGGGTGCAGGACATCCTGACCATGACCGGCTGTTTTTACTTGTTTTAGTCTTAGCCCTCTGTGGGGCATTTTTGCCACCATCTCCCCATGCTCGTGTCGGCGTGGCCCCCCTGGGATGCCTGTGTGTGTGAGGACCCTGTGCCCCTCTTCCTGGAGGCCTGTGGGCACTGACTGCAGCTCACGGTCCTGCCTGTGCCTTGCCCACTCTCTACACCGAGCCTCTCGGTGACGTCTCCTTGCAGTAACGCTGGCGAGTCCTGCTGGAAGGGTGCTGTGTGCAGAGTACCGCCGAAAGGGGTGTTGTGCAGAGTACCACTGGAAGGGTGCTGTGTGCAGAGTACCACTGGAAGGGTGCTGTGTGCAGAGTACCACTGGAAGGGGTGCAGAGTCCTACCAGCAGGGTACTGAGACCTTTGTGCTGTAAGTCAAAGGACAGGGATCCAGTCATGACTGCACCTCGTCACCTCCCAGAGCTCCACCTGCCAGCACTGCCATCTTGGGGTGCAAGTTCATCGTGGGACTTTGGTAAATGACGAAGTTGATTCCTTCTACAAGTTCAGGACTTGGTGTTTTGTGCTCACTGTCATGGCAGGTGCTCCTGGGGACCTTGTCTCTCTGCACAGGGGGCAGCCTGTGGTCATAAAGTGGCCATGAGTGTCCTGTGGTCATCATCCCCACGTTCAGGGCTTCTGTGGTGACAGAGCCGACCTGGGTAACTGTGTTCCCTTTGTTGTCTTTGAAGTGTTCTTAGCTAAGTTCAACATCTTTGAAATCATCGCACCATCTCAGAACGGCTCCTCCCTGCTGGGTCACTGCAGGTGCACCGCTCGGTCTGCACACCCTGGGCAGAGGCCAGGTTCCCCTGTTAGGGACACTGACTGACTGTGTGATTGGAGAGGTGCTGTGCTCAGTACTCCTGCACAACCTCCTGGGTTCCCAGCTGGCCCTTGCACGGTGGGTCTCACAGGCAGGTGGAGGTGACACTGTGAGGCCCGTGCTCGGGTTTCTCGTTAGGGACACAGACTGACTGACTGTGTGGTTGGAGAGGTGCTGTGCTCAGTACTCCTGCACAATGTCCTGGGTTTCTAGCCACACTGCACAGCGAGTCTCACAGCAGGTGGAGGTGACACGGTGACGCCTGTCATGGCCTCCCATGGTCATGGCTCCCTTCGTCGGGGCTCACGTTTGCAGAGCGAGTAGCCGGGACCCGCTGACCGCTGCCCTCCGTCCCTTTCCCCAGGCCTGCGGCTGCCCGCTGTACTGGAAGGGGCCCCTGTTCTACGGTGCCGGTGGGGACCGCACGGGCTCCGTGTCTGTGCACAAGTTTGTGGCCATGTGGAGAAAGTGAGTCCGGGGACCTGGGAGGGCGGGAGGTCCCGGTCCTTCAGCCGTGGCCGACGTCACGGAGCGGCACTCGCTCCGTCCTGCGGGCCGTGTGCACGGGGCTGTGAGGCCAGCCGAGACGTCCTTGTCACCACAGGATCCTGCACAACTGTCACGACGAAGCCTCCCGGTTCGTGCACCTGCTCATGAGCCCCGGCTGCAACTACCTGGTGCAGGAGGACTTCGTCCCCTTCCTGCAGGTCAGCGACAGCCGCGTCCCCAGGGGCCCTGCCCAGCTGGCGGGGGTCCCGCTGTGCACACGGCCTGTGTCCCCTGGGGCGCGTGTCCACCCTCTCGGGGTCTCCCCCCACGAGTGTCCCCCGTGGGTCCGTGTGTCCTCCCACGCGAGGTCCTGTCTGTCTGCGCCCTCCTGGCTCTGGGGTGCAGCGTGTGACGCACGCCTCGTCTATCCCCGTGTGTAGGACGTGGTGAACACGCACCCCGGCCTGTCCTTCCTGAAGGAGGCGTCCGAGTTCCATTCCCGCTACATCACCACGGTCAGTGCGGCCCTGGGGCGGTGCCGCTGCTGAAGTCAGCCTCACGCCTTTTTCCTCCAAAACCCAGAGCCATCATTGCAGCAGAAACGGCAAAGCTGTGCCTCAGTGGGCCGGGGAGGGTCACCCGGGGTCAGCAGCGGGGAGGTCACGTCCTAGGGTGAACACAGGATCCGACCTGGGTCCCCAAGCTGAGGCGACTGAAGGTGGGCCTGGCCACGCGGGGGGGACGAGCGATGACCACTGCCCTCCGCAGAACAGTGTCCTGCCGGCTCTCTCTGGCGGTGTGATTGCCAGTGCCCTCTGCTGGTGGCCAGGCCCTGCAGCGGGTCCCTCCCTCTGTCCCCTGGGTCCCACCGCGGCCTCTGAGCAGAGCGTCACCCACAGGTCATCCAGAGGATTTTCTACACGGTCAACAGGTCCTGGTCGGGGAGGATCACCTGCACGGAGCTCAGGAGAAGCAGCTTCCTGCAGGTGAGCCCAGCACCTCCGTCCCGGGAGGCCCAGGGCACGGCCAGTGAGCGCCAACCGGGGTGCGTGGGACCAGGCCTGTCCGGTGGCCCCCGGCTGCTGGCATGGGCACAGGGGTGTTCACTGTGTCCTCTGTGGGTCCAGCCAGGGTTCCCCTATGCCCGATCTGTGTGCCGTGTACCCCAGTTCACCTGCACTTGCCCTCCCCAGAGCCCTGCCCCCAAGTGCCCCATCCCAGAGCCCTGCCCCCAAGTGCCCCCATCCCAGAGCCCTGTCCCCAAGTGCCCCATCCCAGAGCCCTGTCCCCAAGTGCCCCATCCCAGAGCCCTGTCCCCAAGTGCCCCATCCCAGAGCCCCCGCCTGCCAGGTCACCTCAGACCCCGATGCGGCCACAGTGATCAGAGCCGTGAGCTTGGCGTCCAGCCGGCCGGGCAGCTGTGTGCAGGAGGCACAGGGCCTGTGCTCAGCCTCCTGCATTGGCTCTGCAGAACGTAGCACTCCTGGAGGAGGAGGCGGACATCAACCAGCTGACCGAGTTCTTCTCCTACGAGCATTTCTACGTCATCTACTGCAAGTTCTGGGAGCTGGACACTGACCATGACCTGCTCATCGACGCACAGGACCTTGCCCGGCACAATGACCACGGTGAGTGCAGCTTGGGGACGCTGAGGAGGGGAAAGGGGACGGGGACGCCATGCAGACCCCAGCGTCCACGCCACAGATTCCCTGCTCCCTGCCCTGTCACACAGACTGGACACGGACCCACAGGACACTTGTGCTCTGAGGGGCGTGAAGTGTCCCGGTCCTTGGCGTCCCTGACCCTGGTCTCACAGAGCTGCCCCTTGCCACAGTGTCCGTCCTCACCCTCTGTCTCCCTGTCCTATCCCGGCTCCCCGTGGTCATCTGTGAGGACCTCGCTCCCTAGTCAGTCCACCTGTGCGGGACGGAGGAGCCCAGGTGGGCTCTGGTTGAACCCTGTGGTTCAGCGAGCTGACGTGACAGTCCCCATGGGTGGACGTCTGCTCCCCTGGGAGGACAAGCCTTCAGCGTCCCACACCTGGCCACCTGGGGACGAGTGATCGCTAGGCAGATCTGTCACCCGTATGGACAGCTGTTCACCCAAGGGGACCTGTGTCCATCAGGTGCACACCTGCTCAGCCTGGTGGACGCCTGCTCAGCACATGGCCACTTGCTGGCCCAGGTGCACACGTGCCTGCCAGGGGCACAGACGCTGGACGCTTGTGGGAAGAGTCTGTCCTGTCCACTCACATCCTGGGTGGACTCTGAGCTGCGGGGTCGTCAGCCACATGTGCCGTGCCGTGCGCGGCCGTCAGGCAGGGTTTTGTCACCTCCCTGTGTGACACATGAGCACACGTGGGTGTGGGCTCAGTTTCCTCAAAGGTTCCCTTAAATCGGCTCCATCTTCTTATTTTGTTTTGTTTTCTTTTTTGTGGTACTGGGATTTGAACTCCGGTCTTCCCCTTGAGCCACTGCACCAGCCCTTTGTTGTGAATGGTTTTTTCCTAGATAGGGTCTTGGGAACTGTTTTCCCAAGGCTGACCTCGAAGCGCGGTCCTCCTTATCTCTGCCTCCTGAGTACCTGGGATCAGAGGCGTGAGCCATGGCGTCCAGCAAATCTGCAGCTTTTCAAGTAATGTTTGCGAGTGACCGCATTCAGCAGTAATTCCCGAGTTCTGCACCTGCTGCTTTGGGTCTGACTGTGGCTGTGACTGGGATGTGGGGTCTGGCCCGTGACCCCGCTGTGGCACCCCGCGACCATGCGTGGGTGGAGCTGAGCACTCACCCCCAGCAGCCTTGATGAGACGCCTAAACGCCTGGCCCCAGGTACACGGGCAGGTAGGACCAGGCTTTGGGGTACAGTCAGGTGGTGGACTGAGCAAGCCGTCCTGCATGCGGTCGAGAACCACCCAGGCTGGGTGTCACCGTCCCTGTCCCCGTGCTGGTTCACCTGCACTCGTGGCAGACGTGCCTGGACCTGGTGCCACAAAGCCGCGTGTGCAGCAGTGGCCTGTGGACCTGAGGTGGGCTCCGAGCTGAGCGGCAAGGGTTGATTGCTTTGATGGCTTCCTGGTCGCAAATGTGACTGTGCTACGGACCGTGAGGATGGCCAGACTGGTCCCTGACGGCCTCCAGAACACATGGCCAGGGGTGAAGCCCCAGGAACCCGTCCTCCCCAGCCCTGCAGAGTGACGGCCGGGTGTGGCAGGGGACACAGCCCCAGGGGACGGTCCTTCCACCTGCAAGATCCTATTTCCAAATGAGGCCCCATTCCCAGGTCCCAGGTGACACACCTTTTGGAAAAGTCACCATTGCCCTCAGTTCTATGGAAGTTGATCATATTCCAATATGACGGCCTGACCCAATGGCGTGGGTGACGTCATGTCAAGACCCATAATTCCACCTTCAAAGGCCCTATTTCCAAATAAGGCCCCATTGTCAGGTCCCAGGTGACACAGCTTTTGGAAAAGTCACCATTGCCCTCAGTTCTATGGATCTTGACCATATTCCAATATGGCGGCCTGACCCAATGGCGTGGGTGACACAGCTGGTCCAGGATGACCTTATCTCAAGATCCCAATTCCACCTGCAAAGACCCTATTTCCAAATGAGGCCCCATTCCTTCACGGGATCTGAGGATCGGGATGGCGACACAGCTGTAGGGGAGGGCGTGATTCCAAGTGTGACACCGTCGCTGTAAGGGGTCACTTTCATCAGGGCGCGATGGATTGAAGTGGAAAGACTTTGCTTTCATTTCCCCATCTTGTGGGCAGTGTGACCAATACGGGTTGAGTGGTGTCCTCCATGTTCCCCTGCTCAAGCTGTGACCCCAGGACCTCAGGGTGGGCTGTGTTTGGGAACAGGGTCTTTAAGGAGGTGACTGAGGAACAATGGGGTCACAGTGTGGCCCTAATCCTGCAGGACTGGGTCCTTACAAGAGAAGGACATGAGCACACTGACAGAGGGACAACCCTGTGAGGACTTGGAGGAGGCAGGGGCTGCAAGCCAAGGACAGAGGGTCGGTTGGGAGGACCCAGCCTTTGACCTTGACCTTGACTCCAGCCTTTGACCTTGACCCTGACTGCAGCCTCAGGACTGAGGGGTGATAAATTGCTGTGTCACCCCACCTGTGGGACTGGAGGCCACCCCAGCAGATGCAGCCTGTCACCTCTAGCTGGTGACAGTGACGTCCCCTGCGCCGCTCCTGTTTTTTAATCAGGGTCACCGAGCGAGAGTGCAGATGGCGCGGCCAGGACGTGGCTCTTCGTTTCTTCTGTGTTCGCAGCTCTGCCTTGCACCGGACAGGCTCGGCCTCCTGGCCTGGACCACAGGGTGCTGTGCTGGACGTCCAGCCCCAGGTGTGTCCCTGACCCGTGCCCCTCACAGCCACCTTCTCTTGCAGCCATCTCCTCCAAGATGATCGACAGGATCTTCTCGGGGGCTGTGACCAGGTAGGGGACGCGTGGCCGGCAGGGGACGGCTGGGATGTGCATCTGTGACCTCTGTCCCTGACCCGTGTCCCTCGTCCATGCGCTGGCCACAGAGGACGCAAGGTGCAGAAGGAAGGGAAAATCAGCTATGCTGACTTTGTCTGGTTTCTAATCTCTGAAGAGGACAAGAAAACGCCGACCAGGTAGAGGCATGGCTGCCTTCCAGGCGTCTGGGGGCAGGGGTGGCTGTGGGTCCTTCCCTGGGGGACGTCTGTCCCCGACGCTGCCCGGCCGAGGCTGACCGGCCCACGTGACACAGCATCGAGTACTGGTTCCGTTGCATGGACCTGGACGGGGACGGGGCTCTGTCCATGTTCGAGCTGGAGTACTTCTACGAGGAGCAGTGCCGCCGGCTGGACGGCATGGCCATCGAAGCCCTGCCCTTCGAGGACTGCCTCTGCCAGATGCTGGACCTGGTCAAGCCGCACACTGAAGGTGAGGACGTGACCGTGTGTGACGTGCGACCCATAGTGTGAGGGACGGCCGGGCGGGACCATAGCCTCTGCCCTAGTGACCAGGCCAGCACCAGTGTGCGTCTGGGGTCATGGTGCCTGGATCGCCACCCGTGGGGGTGCCGAGGTCAGCATGTCTCAGGATTGTGCAATGTCAGTCGGGAGGTTTGCAAGCCCAGGAAGGGACACTGCAGGTCGTGTCCCCCATGCCAGCCCCGGTCACTCTGAGGTCAAGGGGCAGGGGGCGCTGTGCTGAACCCCGCCAGCTGCGCGCTCTGTCAGAATCCCGGCTTGCGGTTCTCACTTGGTGGCCACTGTCCTGCTGATCACAGTGTCCCTGACCCTGGCCAGGGCTCTGTGGTGACCCTGGGGACAGTGGTCTCCCAGGCTGTGCCACCCAGGGTGTCTCCAGAGCCTGGTCTGCTCCTTCACTGAGTCCCTCAGAGGCGTCCAGGCTGAGTCCACACCTCACATCTCCTCTAATGTCCATCCTGTTGGGAGGACGACAGGGCAGGACCCCGTGTCACCCACTGCTGCCTGCTCCCCGACCCCGGCCCGTGGTGACGCCTCCTACCCTCCCCAGGCAAGATCACGCTGCGGGACCTGAAGCAGTGCAAAATGGCCAATGTCTTCTTCGACACCTTCTTCAACATAGAGAAGTACCTGGACCATGAGCAGAAAGAGCAGGCCTCCCTGCTCAGGGTGAGCGCCGTGTCTGAGCTCCCGACCCTACTCCTCACCAGTGTGGCCTGTGTCCATAACACACGGTGTGCCTTCCTGCTCAGGGTGACCATGGCCTCCATCTCCTCCTCCTCCTCCTCCATCTCCTCCTCCTCCTCCATCTCCTCCTCCATCTCCTCCTCCTCCTCCCCTATCTCCTCCTCCTCCATCTCTTCCTCCATCTCCTCCTCCTCCTCCTCCATCTCCTCCTTCCCTATCTCCTCCTCCTCCTCCTCCTTCTCCATCTCCTCCTCCATCTCCTCCTCCTCCATCTCCTCCTCCATCTCCTCCTCCATCTCCTCCTCCATCTCCTCCTTCCTCCATCTCCTCCTCCATCTCCTCCTTCCTCCATCTCCTCCTCCTCCTTCTCCATCTCCTTCTCCTCCCCTATCTCCTCCTCCTTCCCCATGGCCGTCCCCCAGCCCCATAACACACGTGTGTCTGTCTGTCTCAGGAGAGCGAGGGCGATGGCCCCGAGCTGTCCGACTGGGAGAAGTACGCTGCAGAGGAATACGACATCCTGGTGGCTGAGGAGGCCGCGGGGGACCCGTGGGATGACGGGTGAGTCGTGGGACACGTGGTGGGGACCACTCGGGACCCTGGTGGTGTTGCTGCTTCCCGTGTGTCATGGCTGCCAGTGCCTGAGCTTGGAGACCCAGCACGGCTGACCTTGTGGGGTCCCCAGGTCCAGCGCTGCCCGTGTGGCCTCTGTGTCGTGTGATACTTGGGCACAGGACAGGGAGATGGAGTCAGGGCTCTGTGTGACACGGGCCGTCCTCGGCCTCACACGGCACAGATGAGGCCATGAGGAAGGTCGGGGTGCCCCACGCACGGGGATGTTGGTCTTCCAGCCCCAGGTGTGCAGACACCTGTGCTGGACGCCAGTGTCTGAGGCCAGGTCCACTGTGGGGTCAGTGTGTCCCCGAGCCCCGTGCCCTCTGACCCCAGCGTGAGCCGGGCTCTGCCGTCACCTGCAATGTCCCACAAGACGCCAGGTCCTGACCCTGTGGGCTGGGGTCGCCGTGGGGGGTGGCGAGGGCTCATCTTTTGGGGGTCAGGTTTATGGCTCCTGCCGAGCACCCAGAGTGAGGCTGGCTTTGCACGCTGCCCCTGTCCCCCCTTGTCCCGCTGGCCTCCCCGTCCTGTGTCACCAGGCCTCTGGGTCCCCACACTCCCCGTGCCCTCCCCCATGTGTGCTGTGGCACAGGAGCGTCTGTGTGTCTGGCGTCCAGTCTGCACACGTCCCTGTCACAGGGTCCCTGTGGCTCAGTCCCCTCCGTCCTGCCATAGTGGACCTGCTGTGGGTCACCACGGCCAGCGTTCTCGTCCCCACTATTCATGCTGTGGGACAAGGTCACCTGACTCAGTTTACCCCCTGGGAATGGTTGTCCCCACCCTAGGCTTCCCTCGGTCAGCTGTGTGGGGACAGAGCGCCAGGTACACTGCACTTAGGTCTGCACCATACCCCGCGTTCTCAGAGAATGTGCGTCATGGCCGGGTGTGTGTCACTGTCCCCGCAGGACCTTGTCCCCAGGCCCCATGTCCCACCCAGAACCAGCCACCTGCAGGGTGGTGCGTCCCTCCTGCAGGACCAGACCACACCCCTCGCCATAACCTCCTAGGTAACCAGGCCATGCCCCCATGACCAGGCCACGCCCCTGCAGATCCCAGGCCACGCCCCTCGCCATAACCTCCTGGGGGACCAGACCACGCCCCCATGACCAGGCCACGCCCTTCGCCATAACCTCCTAGGGAACCAGACCACGCCCCTGCAGCTCCCAGGCCACGCCTTCATGGCCAAGCCACGCCCCTCACCATAACCGCCTAGGGAACCAGACCCCGCCCCTCACCCACCAGATTCCTCGGCCCCGCCCTTCCTGCAGTACCAGGTCGTGTCTTTCCTACAGGACCAGGTTTCCAGGATGCGTCCTGCCCCTCGCCGACCCCTCCTTCAGGACCCCAGGTTGTCGTGTCCTGTCCATTGCCCCTCCTACAGGACAAGGCCCCATCAGCCCCTCACCAGCCCCTTCCTGTAGGACCAGCTCTCCAGGCCCTGCTGTGCCCCGCACCAGCCCCTCCTACATGTCCCCAGGTCGTGTCTTGCCCCTCACCTGCTCTTCTTTGCAGGTTCGAGGCCGAGCTCAGCCCTGTGGACCAGAAGCTGAGCGCGCTGCGGTCCTCACGGCCATTCTTCGAGGCGCCATCCGCGCTGGGCGATGTGGACCTGTACGAGTACGCGTGCGGGGACGACGACCCGCAGCCGCTGTGACGCCCGGCCAGAGAGGAGGGGACCGTCCGTCCGCAGCGGGCCTGCCGCGGTCTGCGTGTGAACTGTTGATCGTCCAGCTGTCTTTTGTGCGAGGTGAAGTGTGTTTGTATGCGATGATAAATTTTTATTTATTCAACACGGAAGTTTGTCGGGGCGTTCGCGCACGGCGTCCCTGTCCCCAGAGCCACTCCTGTGACACCCTGCGGGCAGACCCGGGGGCTCAGCCTCGGGGACACGGGGACACCCACAGATCCCGTTCCCAGCGTGGCTACTCTTGTCTGGATGGGCCAAGCCTGACTCCACAGCCACCGTGTGTGCACGTTGTCACCTTGGGAAGGTGCAAAGCCCTGGGGACACAGCGGGACACAGCGGCCTCATCCTGGGGGTGGCACGGACACAGTGCCTGACAGGCAGCCGCTACAGGACATGGGACACCTGCCTGTCCCTAATTCCACTCAGGTGGCATCCACACCCACCCTTGTCAGGTGACTAGGACAAGGAAAGGCCACGGGGAGGAGCGAGGTCATTCTGGGGGAGAGAGAGGCAGCTGCAGTCCCGTCCGTGCTGGTGGTCATCCTGTCCTCTGCAGCACCTGGGGGCTGGGTCAGCTGCAGAGTCCCCAGCCTGTCCATCTGCAGAGACCACGCCCCTAGCCTCCTTGCTCATGCTGGCTCGTCATGCCCATCATCCCGGGACACGCCCACCTCAGGACCCGCCCCTGTCCTCGCGCATGTCCATCATCCCGGGACACGCCCACCTCAGGACTCGCCCCGGTCCTCGCGCATGTCCATCATCCCAGGACACGCCCACCTCAGGACCCGCCCCTGTCCTCGCGCATGTCCATCATCCCGGGACACGCCCACCTCAGGACACATCCCTGACTTCAGTGTCCTCGCTGAATGCTAAGTCCTGGGGCCATCTCAGTGCCCGATGCCCTGTGTCCACCCTGCACTGCCCATGTGACACCTCCCTCCCACATCCCGGTGGGTTCTGTCCCCACATCCCAGGGACCACGCAGACTCACTTGGGGGCCATGCACACGCTGGTGTCCCCCGATGAGTCAGGAGGGGAGGACAGGCAGTCTCCCTCACAGACGTCCCTGCAGGGGACCAAACTCCAAGCTGTGGGCACCTCTGCCTAGGCCCAGGTGGTTCTCGCACCCCAGAGTCCGCGCGTGTCAGCACCAGAAGCTCCCACACCACGGGGCCACCAGTCTGCTGCAGTGTCACCCATGGGGCACACTGCCAGCTACTCGGCAGCCAGGGGTCTCCTGGTGGCTGTGGGGGCGTTTGGGACCTGATGAGTCCACTGGCCCCAGGACATCCTCCACGAACAACCGTCCAAAACATACTGGACTTAGACCCATGGTGTCCCCTCAGGAGCCCCTCAAGGGAACCCTACCTTGTCTCAGTGTGCTGTCTGGTGTCCCCTAGCAGGACTGGATGCTGACCCTCGTAGAGGTCCTGCCACCTCAGCTCCTGCCTGACGTCCAGGCCGTCCTGAGGTGGCCTCCACTGGGGACTGCAGTGTCCTCAGAGGAGGGAGGGTGAAATGAGGAGACCTCAGAGGGACCTGGCAAAGGTCAGACATGGAGGGCTGTGTGGGGTCCAGGTGAACAGATGCAGGGGGATGAGCTCGATCCTGTGTGCAGGTTGCCCGATGATCCTGGGGTCCAGCCTTAGGTGGACAGGGCAGGACCTGGGGGTCCTGGAGGTTCAGGGTGGCAGGGGAGTACTGGACGTCCACGAGGTTCTGGGCTGTGCTGAGCGCCACCTGACTATGGCTGCAGAGTGAGGACAGGAGGAGCCCAGGGCCACCAGAGGTCAGGGTGTCCCCAGAGGGTGACAGGGACAGACCCTAGTCCCTGAGCAGGTGGGGTGCATGGGAGTGGAGGGGACCCCGGAGGGAAGAGGGGGAGGACAGGAAGACGTCAGAGCCACTTGGGCAGGAGCAGACTGACCGGGTGGCCGCTCACCGTGGCACCACGGCTCCCTCACGGCCGCGTCCCCCAGCATGGAGGCTGTGTTCACATCCCTGCAGGGCCTGGCAAGAGGCCAGGTGACACTGTCAGCCTGCGGTGTCCCCCACGGCCTCCATGCTGGATTCCACACACTCGTCACCTGTACTGGGCAGGACCCCTCACAGGACCCCATAGCGAGGCCGTGACACCAGGGTCCCCAAGGGGTCTGGGGCAGGTGGGGACGCCCTGTTGGGGAGTGTGGAACCCAATCCCACACACAGGGCTTGCCCACACTTGGACTTGTCCTGTGACCCCACGACCCTGTGAGTCCGTGTTCCTGGATAGACGACAGACGGACAGACCGTTTGCTTTGCTCTGAGCGTTTCTAGCCTGAAGTATTTAATAAAAAGCAGGAAAAGAGCAGGTCACCCCTGACATTGCCCGCTTGCCCTGGTCACTCATGCTCTCTGGGACCTAGACAGTGGCGTCACCTGTGTGGGAGGGCCACCTGGTGGGGCCACACCATGTCCACCTGGAAATCTCACCCTGTGGACAAGACTGACAGTGTGACAGCGGTCAGAACAAAGGGTGCTGCCATGCTAAGTGACAGGCAAAACCCGTGACCTGCTCACAGGTGCCACTGATGTCCTCACAGCTCCAGTGACCGGGGCACCTGTGCTCCCCGTCACCACGCCATGGCCTGCTGCTCAGCAAGGCTCTGCCAGCCCTCGGCATTGCGAACTTGTCACAGAAGCAAGGATGGGGACAAAACCTTGAGGACAAGGCACCCTAACTGTAAACACCAGCCACTGCTGCCTTCCAGGGGCAGGTCCCCAGGGCCACCTCCCCTCCCAGGCGCAGGTCCCCAGCCACCTTCCACAGGAGCATTCGGCCACCTGTGGGATGCGTCCAGGACATAGAGAAGCCCTGTCCCCGCCTGTGACACCTGCGCCATCCCCACCTGGGAGGCCTCCCCTGTCCTCTAAGATGTCTGTGGTGGCCCTGGGCAGAGAGACTTGTGGGTTTGTGTCCCTGTCCCCAAGCCAGTACCTCCTCAGAGATGGATGGATGGACGGAGGCTTGTCTGTGGGTGATGGGGCAGTGGACATACTTGTGCAGTGGAGGAGCCCATGTCCCCAGGGGCATGGAGGACAGAGGTGGGCCCAGCACAGGGCTCAGGTGGACAGAAGCCAAGGTCCTCAGCTTTGGGGCGGAGGAAGAAGGACAGGAGGAGAGAGGTGGGAGGGGGAGGTGAGGAGGAGGGGGCTGGGAAAAGGGGGAGGAGGGAAGAGAAGGGAGGGGGAGGAAGAAAATGGGATGGGAAGAGGATGCAGTATGAGATTGGGAGGGGGAGGGGAAAGAAGAAGGGGAGGGGGGGAGGAGGAAGCAGGAGAGGATGGGGGAGGAGAGAAGGGAGGGAGGGGAGAGATGGGAGGGGAGGAGGGAGGAGAGGGAAGGAGGGAGGAGGGGAGGGGAAGAGGAAGTAGTAAGAGATTGGGAGGGGAGGGGGAGGGGAGAGAAGGAAGAGGAGGGGGAAGGAATGGGAAGTACAAGAGGAAGGGGATGGGGAGGGGAGGGGAGGAGGGAATGGGGGCAGGAGGATAGGAGGGGAGGAGGGGGAGAGGGGAAGGAGCAGGGGAGGGGGGGCTAAGGAGAGGCCTCTCTGGACCTCAGGTAGCCCTGAGCAGATGGGGGAGGGGTGGGGGACCAGACCCTGGGCGGAGAGGACCGATGCAGGCAAACCCTGAAGGGTGTGGACGT